CACACACACACACACACACACACACACACACACACACACACACACACGCCCTAGTACATCACTCAACAGTACGTTCCTGGAAGCGTTTAGACTCAACGAGATAGAGCACATATTGCGAGTAAGACAATAAGTGGTACTGGAAATGGACTGGTTTTTAAAAGGTCATGGTGCCAAACAATTCATAACACATCCCATAAGTGTGGTGAAAAACTCTGCAATTCTCCGAGTAAGCGAAAACCTCCATGTCTCCTAAGCTGAGATAAGGAACACTCGGGATGCTGCGGCTGCCGTCCTCAGCGGGAAAGAGCGACGGCGGCTGGCGCTGCACGCACCCGCTCCGAGTATCGGAAGTTTCGAAAACATCTCAACTTTGAACCTTTTACAAATGTGTTCTAATCTCATCCTTTATTTTTAATTTTGCACACAGCTGTCTGGTGTGCTTTTTAGAATCATGCCAGATGCTGGGTTCATCAAGAAAAGGCAGGGAAACAATGGTCGAAAAGCAATTAGAAGCACCAAGGCTGCAGCGAGGCTCATATTAAAATGCGAGAGCACTGTCCTAGTGGGAATTCTAGCATGGCTCCACTTCTGACATTTCTCTGCTGCCAGACAGTCTGTGTGGAAGGACACTGAGATGGAGGATAGCACACTAGAATTTATTTCTGGGGCAAATGAAGGATTAGCCGAGTTGGACCCCACCCAAGGATTTTATTATGGTCTTGGCCACCACTCTATTTGAAGGCTGCAGGATCCTGCTGCCATCTAACGAAAGTCAAGGAATAAAGGCATATTGTTGCTCTGGTTCAGTAAAATAATCCAGCAGCCATTCAAGGTATGGTGCCCCTTGTTGCTGAGATAGCAGCTCGGTGGGGCCCAGTGGGGTGAGGGTTAATTAAACACTCCACTGGCTTTGCTCGGAGATGGCCAGTGCCGCTCTGTGGAGAGATTTAGAAGACACAATGAGATCATCTACACATTCTAATATAAACTACATATGGACAAGGAGTACTCACCTTGGGGCTGAAAATCCCAGCAGTACCTAAAATAAAAGAAGGAAGAGTAGAGATCAGTCAAACTTGAACGTTTCAATTGCGGTTCATACACCAGGTCGGTAGACCTTGACCAAAAGAGCCAAACAGTTGATCATCAGGCAGAGCTTGGCTTTGTTTAAGAAAAGCAAGTCTTGCCCTTGGTGTTTTAAAGATCCTTAATGTCTTAAAAGCTGCATCAATGTGCTGCAACAGCTAAGCAAAGTGCCTTTTAAAGCTGGGGATAGAAGCTGGAGAGGTGGCTCAGTGGTTAAGAGCACTGGCTGCTCTTCCAGAGGACCCAGGTTCAGTTCCCAGCACCCACGTGGCAGCTCACATCTGTCTGTAACTCCAGTTCTGGGGCTTCTGACACCATCATACAGACAGACATACAGGCAAAACACCAATGACCATAAAATAAAAATAAATTAAATTTAAAAAAAAAAACTGAGCCTAACTGAGTCTTGCGTTTTGAGCCAGATGGTTCTTTATTGAGACACCTGCCCTGTGACTTACAGTACCATTAGTGCCACTGGCCTGGGCAGCAAACACCAGTGATGTTCCTGCTGTTGGACTAACCCCAAACTCCAGTACCAAGAACACAGCCTCAGCTGCACTCACGGCTAAAGTGGACAGGTGAGGCCCAGACGAGCGAATCAGAGTTGTCTCACACTGAAGCAGCTGAGTCAAGAAATGAAAGCAGCCCATGAAATCCATGGTTCCTTCTCCTTCCCTCTTGCTTTGTGGAATGATTGGCAGAGCTGACACCCCTTGGGGTCTTAAGTACCAAACAGCCATGATAGAGAAGATGGCTTGTAAATCCCGTCTGTGGAACCTGACTCACTCCCCACCCGAGACAGAAACAGTTTCACTTACGGTGGTTACCCACAGAAACCTACTTAGTGCCTTCCCAGGAAACTTACATTATTCTGTATTGATTTTCCTCCAGGGTATGGCCACTTTCTTCCTCTCGACTCGGCCCTTCCCATCAGCGTGTGCGCTCTCATAAAATGAGACACATCCTTCCCTCACCATTTCAATCTCTCCATCTCCTGTTCCATTTTCTTCACGGCAGAAAGCCCCCTCTCCTCGCATCCTCGTCTCCTCTTCCCCAGTATACACCACCGGACTCACGGAGACTACACCTTAATTCTCTGAACAGACTCAAGCCTTCCACACCACTAAGCAGGATGGATACTTTTCTGTTCTCCTCTTAGCCTCTTGGGAATTTGTATCTGAGGCTTTCTAGGAGGAAAATTACATGTTTTTAATTGAATTCTTAATCAAACCAAGAGGGTCCATAACCACGGAAGGTTCAGGGAAAGGCCATACTTGGGTGGCAATGATGTCTTCCAGTGTCGACACGACGAAAATTAGGTTTGGCTACATTAGGGAGGATGATCATCCTAATGTCTAGACTATTTCTCTACCACCACCACCCTCTCCCTGCTCCGAATGGTAGAAATCAGAGCAGTGGGAGGTCAGTGGGGAGGAGGTCACCATAAAACTGAGGTGGTTTGAGGGAAGCTATCAGAGAAGAAACGGGAGCAGAAAGCCTGGGTTTGCTTTCCCCTGGACCCGCCCTGCTTTGACATTGGGTGAAAGGAAATACAAAGTAACAGGTTAGAGAGAAGGCAGAGGAAGGAAAAGGTGCCGGGTGAAGGAGGAGGCCAGAGGCGGAAGGCTTCGACATCCAGAAGAAGGGTTGTCCACATGAGTGTAAGGGCACGTGTACACTAGAACTGGCAGACAGCTAATTCAGCTGCGTGTAATTGTGAAGTGGGCCAGTCTCCACCCAATACAGGACAGCTGACCACTGCCCAAAAATGTCTTCCTGTGAAATATAGTCGGATTACTTTCTCTTCTCATCGCTGTGACAGAGCACATAACAAGAAGCAATGAAAAAGGAGACGTTTCTATTGGCTTATGGTTTGAGGGAATATAGTCCATCTTGGCGAGGAAAGACACAGAACCAAGCAGCAAGTGGGAACAAAGGGTGGTTGGCGGCACCGAGGCTGAACTAGAAAGTGGAGAGCTTGCCAGGATACAGCCAGGGCTGTAATCTTCCAGGGATGGCTCCCTAGTGCCTTACTTCTACGAGCCAGGCCTCTTAAAGGTTCTTGTGATCTCCCAACAGTGCTAAAGCACACGGGCCTGCCGAGGACATTTCCTATTCCTATCAAAGCAGCCAACGAAGCAGATCGTCGGACACACGAACAATATTCCAACTTCCGCTCCTTCCCGTCTTCTCTTGGCACATTGCTCTAACACCCAAGTCTTATCATTACTCATCCTCTAATTAAACATAAAAGAAATGAGGGGCTGGAGATGGCTGGGCAGTTAAAACACTGCCTGCTCTTCTAGAGGACCTTGGTTTGATTCCCAGCACTCACATGGTGGCTCATAACCATCTATCACTTCAATGCCTAAGGATCAGATGCCCTCTTCTGGCCTCTTGGGTATCAGGCATGCATGTGATACACAGATACAGGCAAAACACCCACACACATAAAATAAAATAAATAAACAAGGGTGCAAACACACACACAGAGAGACACACACACATACTTCTTTTTCCAAAATGTAATGACAACAATGACAAGAGCTTTACTAATCAATATTACTCTTATTTGCTGGTTTAGGGGTAGGTGGGGAAATCAAGCCAGGGAGTAACAGTATTTTAAAAGGCTAACTCTGAGTAAATTGTTAAATAGGCCTTTCTGTGTGTGCACACGCGTGTGCGTGTGTGTGCATGTGTGCCCCTCCTTCTTCCACTATCTCCACTCCAACATTTATTTTAAGTTCCCTTCTCTATCAAGTCCAGGTTTCTTGGTTTCTCTTATTAGTCAAGAAGATAGGGCATGTCGTAAGTTCACATAAATGTAAGATTATGCTTCTGGGGTGGCGCACACCTTTAATCCCAGCACTTGGGAGGCAGAGGCAGGCGGATCTCTGTGAGTTCAAAGCCAGCCTGGTCTACAGAGTGAGTCCCAAGACAGCCAGGGAAACAGAGAAACCCTGTCTTGAAAATAAATAAATATAAAATAAAGTGCCTCCAACTATAACATAAGAGGGTCACTGCAGAGAAACACTCCATTTAACAGTAACAAATGAGGACACTGTCTTACATAATTGGTACCGTGTAGTAGAATCAACATTATTTTTGATAATACTGTAATTGAACATCTTTGTTAAACTTCTAGTGATATGTGTAAGTTAAGCAAGGTAATGAATGTTACATCTATCTATACCAGCAGTTCTCAGGGAGAGCAAGGAAGGAGGCTCCTGACTTCAAGGACAGCTCAGCTTCATAGCGAGACCCTGCCTTAAACAACAACAAGGGCTGGAGAGATGACTCAGTAGTTAACAGCACTGGCTGCTCTTCCAGAGGACCCTCATTCAATTCCCAGCACCCACATAATGGCTCACGACTGTCTATAACCCCCCTCCCAGGGGATCAGTGCCCTCTGCTGGCCTCTGTAGGCACTAAACATGCCCATGGTGCAGACATGCAAGCAGGCAAAATACTCATGCACATAAGCTAATAAAATAATACTTTAAATTTTTAAACATGAGTAACAGCAAAAACAAGAAGACGAATAGATTCCAAGGATCTAATTAATGTGTAGTGCGTGACTCTCGTTAGCAAAACTACATTAGATACCTGAAAACGGTAAAGAGTAGATTTGACACATTCTCACAATGAAGGCAGCTTCAGGCGGGAGGTGGTGGGTGTGCTAATTAAAACACAAGCATCTCACAACGCATATGTGGATATCAAATCGTCTTACATATTTTAAATAATGTTGATTATTATTTTTTGAAAATCTAGTGAAATGTCTGTGTTGAACTTGGTGGGAGTGAGCGTTTCTTCCTTTCTTTCCTATCGAATCTTTTCTTCCTTGCATCCTCCTCTAAGTATTACAATAGTCTAAAAGAAGTTTGCTTTAAAAACGGGAGCAAACACAGCACAAACACACTTACTTCCCACAGAGGACATTTTGTTTCGGTTTGGTTTTGAGCCTAGTCTCACATAGCCCAGGCTAGCCTCAAACTCCTGAAGATGACCTTCAGTTACTGATCCCCCTGCCTCCGTTTCCCGAGTGTCGGGATTACAGGTGTGTACTACTATACCTAGGTTTATGCTGCACTAGGGGAGCAAACCCAGGGCCTTGATCGTGCTAGAGAGGCACTCTACCTACTGGACTCTATCTCCAGCCCCAGAGGGGACTTCTAAAAGGAAACTATAAAATATCAGCAATGTCAACCTTTAAGAAGGGGCCCCAGCTTGTTCACTGATGGACATATTTGAGGGCTTCGTCTTGTCTGGTTACACAAATCCTGTGGCTGGAGAGTTCTGTGCTCTTCTGGAAGTTTTTAGTTAAACCCCTGCCAGCACCTTCCATTTCTTATACTTTGCTCTAAAGACAATCCTCTTTAAACCAGACAGCTCAACAAATCAGGAACTAAATGTTTTAAGCCAAGATACAAAATCTGCAGAAGAAGTATAGAGAAGAAAACACATTATGAATGCACACACAGAGGTACAGCGCACACACAGAGGTACGTCTAGTCCAAGAGTCTCCGAGAGTTCCCTATCGGGCCTGTGCTGACAGATAACACACCTCTTTAATCTTCTCTTTGAGCCTTCAGCTCCTATAGGAAAGGGAAGCTATCACTCCTCTGCAATAGCCACGCTCAGCCTCACCAGGTCCATGCAAATGGAACTCGGGACTGAAAAGGAGATAGGACAGCGTGAGCAGAGAGAAGACGCTGTGCCATATGGATGGTGATTATTTTCACATTCAGTACAAACAAGCCTGTCTTCATGCTTAGCTGGCCTGCAAGACAGTCTTTTCATTTTGCATGCAAAGACTAAAATACGGGCATGGTTTGGGGCTGGAGAGGCGGCTCAGCCGTTGAGAGCACTGGCTGATCTTCTAAAAGACCCAGATTTGACTCCCAGCACCCACAAGGTGTATCACAATAATCTGTAACTCCTGTCTCGGTG